CAATCGAAGCCAGCTCAATGCTCATGTATCAGTCCTTATCACAAATGCGATCTTTCGAAATGAGGACACCGCAAGTAATTAACAGCAGGACTTTCACTCGCACTATATCAACGGCACACAATCGTTTCCAGTCTTATGTCTAGGTTCCTCATTACCCTAGCGTTTAAGGGGTTCTGCTAGGTCTGGCTTTCGAAGCAGCTGTTCGAGAAATTTCGATTAGCTGTTGCTCAGATTGACAATTCCATGCTCACCGACTTACTGCTTCCCCGACTGTCTTACTTTTGAGGCAAATGATCCGTTACAACGCTGAAGAACAGAGGATGATAACATGGTCCTGTTTAGCGTCGTTTAACTGGTCAATCGTGTTTCTGGTGAGAGAGCGAAATAAAACAGGAAAAACTGAACTGAACAGAAATCATGAAGCGCGAATTCAAAACGGCTAGCATTTCAGCTATGAGGCTAACGCTGACAGAGGAAAATTAATAATGATATGACGGCGCAATTCGCAGCATTTTCAGTGATTTGACTCTGTTCCTCTACTATTCAAATCCGTTCATGATCAAGCTTCAAAAGATGGAATCGATATAAGACGGCGATGTCACATACCTCGACTGTAGTGCACATCAATAAAACCTAGTGCACTGAACGGCCATGTATCTGGGAAGCTGAGCGTTGCAGACACGTGACCAGTAGAAATAATTGATTTGGGGAATTTAGGGAACAAGCGGTTCGAAGATGCACTCACACACCAATAAATTGCCAATTTTTGCTTACCAGTAACGCAGCGCCGTTGCCTCCTCTGTAGTTGAAAACGACCGCTTTGTACCTCAGGTCGTTGATCGTCTTAGCGAGTGATTGCACGTATCTGTCGTGGGTTGTGCCTGCAACGGAAGGCAGCCATAATTTCACCACGGAGCCGTTCTCCCTTGATTACTTACCGGTCAGACCAGGAAGAATGATGACCACCGGACAAATATCTAAGCAGTTTTCTGGAATTGACCAATCCAGCGCTAACTGACCTCCATCGTTCAGTTTGAACATTTCACTAAAAACACTGAGGTCATGCATCCGCATGGTCAAGCCTCTTACCTGTTCACCGTTGAAATTGAATTTTCAGTCTACAGCGAATGAGGTGGCACATGATCGTCTGACTGCATCCGAACGGGCACCAAAACGGAGGTGAATAAATTTCTTTCAGTATCGGACAGTAATTGCTCAACAGGTTCTTTAGGTTTCCATCTTTGGCGTACAACTTAGGAACCTAAACGGACAACTAATAAGATACAACATACAATTATACTCGTGACCGCTCTCTTTTTCTTATATACTAGCTCCTGTATATTCCCTTTGACAAAAATGAGTGATTACACATTTGAATGTTCACTCTGATTTCAGTCAACGACTTCTGTAGTTGTGCATCACAGTGCATGGACTTTATGTTTCAGGCTGAAGGTCAGGAGGATTTACTGGTGGTAAATTTTGATAATATCGCACTGATTTCAAGTAAACACTCATAGACAGTGCCAAAAATGCAGATATAGCTAATGCTGTACACTATATGCAACGTTGCTCATTGGTAAGTGACGAGCAACGAATGCCACAGATAAATCATAAATCGACAGTTAAAGGATGAGCAATAAAGACAAACTGTCAAGTAATAATTCTAAGATTTTTGAAATGGTAAGTTGAACTGCATCAGTGTCTCGACGAATATGTACTGAACGGGTTAGGGAGAATCCCTGTAGTAGTCAACTCAAGCAATTTTGCACTGCAGCAGCATATTTTGATATATGTTATAGATTTGTGACATACAGCGTGCTAACTTTTGATGCAGTGAGTATAATGCGGCAGTGTAAACCTCCGTGAACCACTGACCGTCTATGTTGCCTACGAGAATAATGCCTCACATTCCAAACACAATAAAGAAAACTATAATCATCAATCTGAAACGAGAATACGAAAATATTGACTGGATAACAATGAGAAATCCCTTTGAAGTGTCAATGATCACATGCATCGTGCCACCAAACAGATTCCTTTATTGGAAGATGCAATCAACCCAGAGGGAATGAAGAACAAAGTGAAAGTAAAACAATATACATCTCGCCTCACCCCTCTGAAGTCTCAAGACTGCCAAGCTGTCAAATCATCTTCATATCTCCGGGGACACTCAAACTTTCCAAGCGGTTTAACTACCGCTTCAGAATCGCTATTTCCTTAAGGAGACACACTTTCAGATTGGTCAG